GATTATTGTTTCCTTAATAAATGTTTATGTTCCACTGAAATAAATTGTTTTGTATTAACTGAACATTCGTTCTCCTAAGTAACTCCACATGACTTGTTAAGAAAGTCTATAACAGTTAGGTATAACTTTCAATATAATTTTTTTATGAAAATCTGTCAACATGATAAATAAAGGTATTCTTTAATTAATTTCCTGACTATCAGGTACATTGCACTTGACTGCTAAATTGTTCCCATAATGGAAAGTACACACTGTTTATGTGTTTGGGTATCCAGAGGATTTTTTTTCATGTATGTTTTGTTTTTTAAAATGTAAGCAGCTGATCAAACAGTGACAGGTGCGATTGAGGACATTAAATGGAACCTCCACACTTCTTATCACTATATTAAATACCTTCTGTTTATTATTTTTAGTACAAAAAGTCCAAATAATTGATAATTAAAATACAAATGGCAACATTTAGACTAAAATAATTGATTTGGAAAACGTATCCCACTTTGTTCTAGTGATAGCTTGGCTGTTTGATCTTCAGCTTTGTAGTTTGGGTTTTACTCACGGCAGTCCAAAATTAATTGAATAAACCTCTGACATTGAGTGTTCTGTTATCCACTTATCATCCTGGTTATCATCAAGAAAATATGGATTTCTGCATCTTTTTCATCTACTACAGGTTCCTAGATAGTGCAAGAGGAATGGTTGTCCTCTTGCACTATCTAGGAACCTGTAGTAGAATGATGTGCTTATTCCCTTTGGTCCTGATTTAACTACCACCATATAAGCCATAATTTGCTTCACAAGCATTCTATTAGTGAACACATCTTTGTGATCTAAAGGTACATGCATCACTTTTAAACACATATACAAACTCAAATAAAGCAAGGAAATATTTGAAAAGTATGTAACTAATGTTTATAAGCTGACTATAAACTTGGTCAGGTTGCACGTCTGTCAGCTAGTTTTCCCACCCATCTCAGTTTACGACCAGTCCACTAATGACAGAAATAGGGCATTATTGTGCAGCAGAAGGAGAGGGATGCTGTGTGCATCCAAGTGTTTTAACAACCTATTATTACTGTGTTACCACTCAGGATTTGAAGTTAATGATAGCCATTAAACTTAAAATTGAAGGATAGAAAAACAAGTAGCAAGAGAGGTGAGAACGGACAACAGCTCAATTAGCTTGTCCTTTGGTAGGTTCCCGCGCAGATCTCAAGCTGGTTTTAGCTCATCATTACAGAGAGAACATATCTGAAGCATATCAGACTGGTCCCACCCATACGGGCAGTCCAGATCCGAAATGCCAGCAAGTTCCCTCTACACGAGAGATACGGCAACCCCAGACGATCATTTCAACCTTGTAAGGTATCATCAATTAGGTATATCCAATATCACTAGGCACCGTGAGCAAGGGGTCCACGACTTTAAACTTAAGGAGAGTAAAACAAGTAGCAAGAGAGGTGAGAACAGACAACAGCTCAATTAGCTTGCCCTTTGGTGGGTCCCCGCTCAGATCTCAAGCTTCTAGGCCTTAAAATCACTCACTAGATTGCATCTCTGAACTCTTGAATATCTCAAATGCTAAATTTTAAGTATTACTCTCCCACCTAGCCTGTGTACATTCATTTACTCCGGTTATCCTACTGAAAACCATAATGTTTGCCTCTGGGAATTTAGGAATTCTGAGAACAAATTTATGATCTCCATGAACTAGCACAATATTCAGTGTTATCGACCTGTTTTTTTACATATTGCGTTACTTACCAAGCAGCCTACTAAAGACTAAGCTCAACTTTATTACCTTCTGCTTGGCTTCACTTGTAATAAATATGAACTAACCTTTTGTCATTAAAATTGATCTCTGGAAGTTAACATCTGAATTGGATTATTTACTTACCTTCTCCTGACTCACCTGGATAGACAAATTGTTATTACTTATCTACTAGATTTTTTCCATAAGTATTATTCTATGATTTACAATTACAATTACAACTGTATATGTTAAATGCTTCATCTCATTGATCATGTACATGAAAGAGCAGTTATTTTCTTTATTAAAAAAATTGTTAGCAAAGGGATTATTGTAAATTATTTACTATTTCTATTTTACAAGTGACGAAACTGTACTGCTGCATGTTCTTAATTAAGATATTTTCCTGTTTAATATATACTTTCAATAAAATAATTCCAAATTATGCAATGTTTTAGACATAAATAGTAGTAGGCAGAAGGTTTAAGTATCATATATATATATTTTTATTCCTTTTTTTTATTTTTTATTCTTTATTTTTGCAGTGCATGAAGATGAGTAAAGACAAGCCTGCAATGCCCCAACAGTGATAACAGGCAATTCAAAATACATGTTAGGATAGAGTAGTGGCATTTCAATATAACAGCACTGATTTTATTATGTAAATTCAGGGTAGTCATATATGTCTAAAACTCTGACTTAAACTAAGCGGGTAGACACAAGAGGTAAGTATCATATTTTAACTTAATTTAATTCAGATCTTTATTTTTCCATACATGAACATAGAAACATAGAAACATAAGGCAGATAAGAACCATTCGGCCCATCTAGTCTGCCCAAGATATGTACCAGCATATCTCTATGTTTAATTTAACTAGAATCTAAATTGGATTATTTACTTACCTTCTCCTGAGTCACCTGCATATTCAAACTGTTATTGTTACTTTTCTACGTGATTTTGATCCATAAGTATTATTGTTATGATTGATTTAAAAACAGGATATTAATCTTCACTTGGGCCAACTACATACATTATAGAGAAACTGTAGGGACTGTACCTGGCTCATCTCATGGAAGTGATTATAGTGTCTGGAGTACCCCTGATGTCCTCCTTCTGTTTAGTGGTTTTAAGGTTCTAATGCTAAATTAAAGTCCCATCAGTCCATCCCCTCTATGCTTCTAGATCTAATGAGGAAGCAGTAGCCTGAGCAGGAATGGGTGACAATGAATGTCTGAGAGCTGACTGCTGACCACTTAATCTCAAAAATACGGCAATGTTTAAATTGCTGGGCTAACTACTTCTCCATTGACTGTCAACCGAACAGCCACTAGACCAGTGGCGGAACTAGCGCAGTCACAGGGGTCGCACCTGTGACCAGGCCCATCACTCCAGGGGGCACAGTCACCCTGCAGACCCCTGCAACCACGGAGCCTACCAGCTAAGAAACAAGGCACCGGCCTGCGCGGTATAACTGCTGGGGCCGCACATTCAGGGGCCCATTGGGTGGCCCATGCTGTTAGGGCCACCCGATGCTATGTATTTCCAGGGGGCATGGTCAGCGCTGCAGAGCTTTAACAGCACGACTGGGCTCCCTGTGATGAGGTCAGAGACTGGGAGGAAGTGACTGCCCAGTCACTCGTTCCTAGCAATTACCATGCCGCAAAGGAGGAGGAAGGAGAGGAACTCTGACTCCCATCAGGCTATGCCACTGGACCCCAGGGAAAGTCCCCCTCCTGCACCTAAAAGATAGGAAAAAGGAGGGTGACGAAAACAGTTTGTATGTGTCTGTATATGTGCATGTTTGTACGTATGTGTTTGTGTATGTGTCTGTATGAATGTTTCTCTGTATGTGTGTCTTTATGTGTGTGTCTGTCTGTCTGTGTGTGTCTGTCTGTCTGCCTGTGTGTATGTCTGTCTGTGTGTCTGTATGTATATGTGTCTGTAATTCTGTGTGTATGTGTGTGTTTGTCTGTATGTATGTCTGTATATATGTGTGTGTGTATGTCTGTCTATGAGTCTGTGTATTTGTATATATGTGCGTGTGTGTGTATTTTGAAAGTTATAGGGTCAAATGTAACACGTTACATTTTTCAGTTTATACACATTGAAATTTGCCAGACTGATTATGTTGCCTTTGAGACCAAATGGTAGCCCAGGAATAAGAATTATCCACAGGATGGCATACCATTTGCAAAAGTAGACATCCCAAGGTATTACAAAAAAAGAAATGCAAGCCTTATATTTGACTCTGTAACTTTTGAAACACCATAAAACATGTACATGGGGGGTACTGTTATACTCGGGAAACTTCACTGAACAGAAATATTAGTGTATCCCATTTGTACAGTATCCCATTTGTACAGGTTTTATGGTGTCTTGGAAAGTTACAGGGTTAAATATAGGGCCTGCAAACCAAATTCTGTGGACTTTCTGCCTGGGTTGTCAGGCAGATCCCTCAAATCATAATTAATAAAATGACCTAATAAAGTAAAAATATTACCTAAATATAAACGTAGAATTTAAATACTTGAAAACGAGAGAAATCTCAATGTATCTTTCCTGGTAAAATATTTTATAAATAAATAAATAAATAAATATGTAATTTTAAAATTCTTTTTATTTATATATAGATATAAATATATATATATATATATATATATATATATATATATATATCAAAATACACTTTTATTATTTTTAATATATATATATATATATAAAACCCCCAGCAGCACCCCCATTTATGCATGTTCAGGTGAGTGCAGCCAACCCCCTCTTGTTTCATATATCATTTTTAGTGTATTTTAATATTAATATATATATAGTATATATTAATATTAAAATACATTTAAAGACATAGTGTATTTGTATGTATGTTTGTGTATATATATAGATATAGATATAGAGATAAACAGACGTTTCAGTCTGTTACACACAGACTTTCATCAAGTCCTGATGAAAGTCTGTGTGTAACAGACTGAAACGTCAACCTATTTTTAGAGCAAATTAAAGTTTTTCACTTATTTCAAGTCCTGAGAGTGCTATCTGGATTGTTTATCTCTGTGTTTCGGCCTGACATGCACCGGGCAAGTATATTTGGAGTTATATGGAGTTCAGGATTATTTTTTCTCTTTATATATATATATATATATATATATATATATATATATATATATTATATATGACCTAAGTATATAAAACACACTTTTAAACAGTTTTTTAACTTTATTAAACTTTATTTCAGGTAGCAGGGGGACTGCCTGTCATTCCAGGCAGGCCACCTGGAGGCACTGCTGTGGACGGCTATTCAGTCCATGTGATCGCGTGGACCCCGCAATCACATGGCCCGGGAGGGCAGGATCAGCAGCAGGGGGACTGCCTGAAAGTCCCCACATTACGATGACTGGCAGGGGATCGCCAGTGATCAGGTAAGTGCATAGGACGGCGTGGACGTACTATGTCGCCCCCCGGCTTAGGACCGGGTTCCCAAGGACGGCATAGTACGCCCGCCGTCCTTAAGGGGTTAAAATAATAATAACAACAAAGTATTTAACCAGGAAAGGAACAGTCAGATTTCTCTGGTTTTTAAGTATGCCCTGGGGATGTTACTCTTGCCCAACATCTAGGATGTTACTACCTGCAGGGACAAATTTAAATTCACCAGAACTTAATTAAGCTGTATTTTTTTTTTTCTGGTAACTATCCAATTTTTCATCATCCAAACAATCCCTGTTATTTATTTAATATTTATTGTTTCAATATTTTACTGATTATTTGGTCCACAATAAATGTTTGTGTTCGACAGAAATAGATTGTTCTGTATAAATGGAACATTAGTTCTCCAAGGTAACCCCACATGATTTGTTAACAAAGTCTAACAGTTAAGTATAACTTTTAATTGAAATATTTTCTGAGAATCTGGCAACATGATAAATAAGGGTCTCCTTTAACCAATTTCCTGACTATCAGGTATATTGCACCTGACTGCTAAAGTATTCCCAAAATGGAAAGTACAAACATATTTTTTTTTTTCCAGTGTAAGCAGCTGATCTAACAGTCACAGGTGCGAATGAAGGCTATGGAGGAGAAACATCACGCTGCTTATCACTATATTAAATGCCTTCTGTTTATTATTTTTTAGTGCAAACATGGTTATTTACTAAACTCCAAGTAACTGTTAATTAAAAATCCAAATGGCAACATTTAGGCTAAAATAATTGATCTGGAAAAAAATTCTGACTCCGTTATAGTGACAGCTTGGCTATTTTTTCTTCATCTTTGTCATTTCGATTTTAACTTACTGCAGTCCAAAATGTATTGAATAAACCCCTGACATGGATTGTTCTGTCATCCCCTTGGGTATTAGTCTATGATTTATTTTGGAGATCTTCTGCAGGTGTTAAAACCAATGTCTATGTCTAAACAGGCTCTGAAGTTGGATCACACAGTTACATAGTTACACAGGCTGAAAAGAGACTTGTGTCCATCAAGTTCAGTTCAGCCTTTAATTTGGTTAAGTTTGAGAATATTACCGAAGGTGACTGAAACCTGGCAATCACCAGGTAAGATTTGCATTTTGTTTAAGTTGAAAGTAAAATAATTCACAATGTATCCCATATTCATGCACAAAAATCCTGGTTATCATCAAGAAAATAATTTCTGCTCAGTATTTTTGCCACAAATGGTTGTCCTCCTTTCTTGCACTATATAGGAACCTGTACAGGTGGAGATGGTAGGTACAAGGCTGGCACAATCATTCACCAGCTCTTATTTTTGGAATATTTTTGGCACACACGTTGCATGTTTCAAAAATGTATTTCTACTTCTACCTTAGATTTAGAACAAAATTGCACAAAGGGTATCTCCTAATTAACAATTATAATTAACAATCCCTAACAAAAATTTCCAAATTCAAAAATTATGTTAATAAACAGGGATACCTAAACATCATTATGTACATAAAATAGCATTTCTTTTTTTAATATGAAAACTTGGTAGAGAAAGGATTATCGTGAACATATATTTTGCAATCAAACTGTACCTGCTGAATGTTCTAAATTTAGAAATGCTAATTAAGGTATGCCTGATCCATAGATTACTGCAATAAAAAAAAGTTAATATGCTTTAGGTGTAAATAGTAGTAGCCTGCAGGTTAAAGTACATATTTTTACTTAATCTAATTCATTCCTTTGTATAACGATAATTAAACTCTCGTCATATCCACCACAATCTATGTTTAGTTTAACCCCTTAAGGACACATGACGTGTGACATGTCACGATTCCCTTTTATTCCAGAAGTTTGGTCCTTAAGGGGTTAATTAACATTCATATATTGTAATTATATATTCCCCAAAAGCAACACGCTGGTACATTGGCACATCTAAACCTCTAAAGTTACCCGAAAATGTCTCCTTTATATTTTGGAGGTTAGTAAAATTTCCCAACTTCAAAACATTTAGACAAAAGTAAAATTGATAATACAATCACTGTAAATAGAATTGTATAATTTAGTACGTACCTAGAGTGTCATCCAAAGTAAAAATCGAGAGTCACTTAGAACATATCTCCCAGTAATGTAAGATGGAGTGTGAGCTGAGAAAGTTCAAAAATCAAAAATGTTCTGTAAAACATGCTCTTAGTAATATATATATTTATAGAACAGTCACTTTAGTACGCTGATTGCCTTAGGCTGCTAAACTGCATCAAGTTTCACTTGTTGACTTAATCTTCCAAAGACTTGGTGTGCTGGTAAGCTTAACCATACGTGTCTGAAAACAGGAATTATCCGTTGACAGGAGGTTTGCTCCTTTTAGTTTAGCTGGGAGGCGATTTCTGGCCAAAACTAGTTTTGCATCTCTTACATCCTAATTGTTGTTGTTTTTTTCCTGGCAATTTTATATAATGAGACTAATGCGTTGACGTTAGATATGCTCGCTTAGCTTGGGTGTAGAGCAGCTGATGGCAGAAAACTAGCTCTCGTGTCCTTGGTGATGACTTCTAGAAGATTAGAAAAAATAAGCACCTGTGTTTGCATAAGTCACGTCTTCTGTAGAACTGTTTGAGAACGAATAGATGTAGATAGTTATTTTGTACACATGACACTATTTTCCTGGTTTGCATCACTGAGGGCATACTATTGCGTTGTTCCTAAATGCATCTTCCCTGTAGGCTATACTTGGTAATATCTTTATTACGACAAGTTTAAGGAAATTGCAGAATCTTGGCAGCAGTATAACACAATTAGAGCTATAGAAAGACAAATCATGCTTAACAATGACAACAAACAGTAAACCTGGCTGACCTCTTCTGCCCAAAACTTTAAAGCATTCAAAATGAAAACAATCTGAACATTCCAGATTTCTCTCTGTATTAATAATTTTTATTTTTTATTTTTTTTATTTTAGACATTTGATTTCAGTGTGAGAAATTACAGGTTACCAATCCATGTGATATATATTACACAATATCCAGCGCACTCACCTATCCACTAACAGCAACCTCAATGCAGGCAGATTTTTATATATATATATATTTTTTTAAACACCTAATCTAGGCAAAAATAATGGGGGTTTGGTTACATTATATGACCACACACTGCATAAGCCTGCCACAAGGTCAATGTACCCCATCTTTGGTAGGTCCTACTGTAAAAGCCTAATGTCTGACGTTGCTGTTTAGTGGATAAGTGAGTGTGCTGGATCTTGTGTGTTGTATAAATTGGCCCTCAGCAGCACCCCATTTATGCATGTTCAGGTGAGTGCAGCCCCCTGGTTTCATATATATTTGGGAGTCTAGCCAACTCCTAGGTGTTGCACCTCTACCTGTCACAGGTGTCTCATCTCAGGGCTCTATTTAGCCTTGTACTGCAGATAGCCCCAGATTATTTTTTTTTCCCCCAAGTTAAGTGGGTTAATCTCATAAGAGCAGACATTAGGGTGTTAGACTAGGAACTGCCAAAGATGGGGTAATTTGACATTGCGGCAGGCTTATGTCATGTATGATAATATAATGTAACTAAACCCCCATTATTTTTGCCTAGATTAGGTGTTTCTTAAAAAAACTAATAAATCTTGTGTATTGTATTATTTGGCCCCCAGCAGCACCCCCATTTATGCATGTTAAGGTGAGTGCAGCCAACCCCCTCTTGTTTTATATATATTTGGGAGTCTAGCCAACTCCTTGGTTTTGCACCCCTCCCTGTCACAGGTGCCTCATCCCAGGGCCCTATTTGGCCTTGTACTGCAGAGAGCCCCAGATGGAATTTCTTTCCCCAAGTAGGTTAATCTCATAAGAGCAGACATTAGGCTGTTAGTGTAGGACCTGCCAGAGATGGGGTACATTGACGTTGTGGCAGGCTTATGCAATGTATGATCATATAATGTAACTAAACCCCCATTATTTTTGCCTAGATTAGGTGTTTTTAAAAAAACAAATGAAATCTTTCAACATTGAAGTTGCTGTTTAGTGGATAGGTGAGTGCGCTGGATCTTGTGTATTGTATTATTTGGGGCCCAGCAGCACCCCCATTTATGCATGTTAAGGTGAGTGCAGCCAACCCCCTCTTGTTATATATATATATATATATATATATATATATATATATATATATATATATATATATAGTGACAAAAGTACTCCTTTCCCTTGGTACCTTGTCCTGGGATTGGGGTGTTACACACAGTCTTTTCAGGCTTTAGAGACACTTCACACGCTGGATGAGGTAAACTGACTTGCTCTTTTATTGAGGTTCCAAAATAAATGCACAGTAAAGTATAAAGGTAACAAAAATATATCAAACAAAAGCCTTGCTCTTCTGAGCACTAACTAAACAAAATAATCAGCTAACTGGGTTGGATGGCTTGTCCATTTCCAAACATAAACATCAACATCAACATCAACATCCTTACTGCTTCAGGGTTTTCAGCTCTCTGTTTCCACTCACAGAAACCAAACACAATCTCCCTTCTTCCTTGGCAGGGGAGTACTTAATAGCACTGGTAATTGACAATCCTTTTCAGGTGAGTTAGATTAGGATTCAAACTCCAGAACTGGACTTCTCACCAAGTAACTTCCAAAATGTGGAGTGGAGCACTGGCCCACCCTACTCTCCAGGTGCTCCACCCCAGGGCCCAAATATACACATATTTAAAGTGCAACATTCATTAGAACATAACACATTTCCCTGGGGCTAATTACACAAAGTAAGAACCTTGCAAAATCTGGGGAGGTATATAGGTTCCTTCCAGCACAATTCCTTGCTTTCTGTCACAATATATATATGTGTGTGTGTTTGTCTACACGCACACATATAGCTGCAGGTAAACAGTCCTTTCCATACTTATATGGCTAGGGTGGCAGGAGACTCCAAGTCATTACCTCAACTTGGTCATCTCTTGCACGTCAGCTCCCGCTGTCAGATTGTTGCTTCAGGTTACTATGTCAATACTCTGATGCTACACAATGCTGGGGCTTGTGAGAACAACAGGCACCCAGCAGAGGGGCAAGCAGGCAGGGCCGGACTGGGAATTAAAAGCAGCCCTGGAAAAAAAATATTTACCAGCCCCATAATGCGTCGCGCCAGCATAGTGTGCAGATACAGAGTTAAAACAGATAACTTAAAATTAAAAAGTACTTCAACGTAAAAAGCGCACTCATAGGCTTCAAAATAAACAAAAGTGCAGATTTATTTTAAGCAGACGTGCCTTTGCATGTAATCTATGTTTCAGTCCAACTACCTTGACATATTAAGGAAAGCTTGTTAATGGGACTGAAATGGTGAATGTATGTAGGGCACAACTGTAAAAAATGTTTATTTTGAAGTCCTGTGGGTGTGCTCTTCACTTTAAATATGTTATTGTGCTGGAGTATGCACCTAGCAGCAAGATTGGGCCAATATCTGCTCATTACATATGGTACATATTAATGAAATTTCTCTGTGTATTATGCATATATAAATGTACATTAATATGTGTAAATATAATATATATATATATATATATATATATATATATAACTAATATACACACATTAATATATACATGTCATATATCAGTGATGGATCCAGAACCTGAGCCTGGGAGGGACACTTGTAGATTATTTAAAGAAATATTCCATGCACAATAACCACTACTCCTCTGTGTAGTGGTTATGGTGCCAGGAGTGTCAGCACCCCCTCCCAGAGTAAGTAGTCAAACCGTTTAAGAACAGTTTGACAATTTACCTGGAGTCTGCTGGGATATGGGGCTGTAGTAGGGTATAGGAGCAGTGGTGCAATGTGTGTGAAAGGTTCAGTGTGTGGGTGTGGGGGGCAGTGTGTGAATATGTATGGTGTGTGTGTGTGGGGGCAGTGTGTGAATGTGTATGGTGTGTGTGTGTGTGTGGGCAGTGTGTGTATGGGGCTAGAGTTCACTCCTACTACTGCGACCACCAGGAAGTGGTGAGAGTGAACTCTAGCCCGTAGCTCCAGGGCTAGAGTTCACCCTCGTGAGAGCCGGAGCGTTGCCCTGGGTCCTCTCT